TGGCACAAATAGAACTGTATTAGCTCTTGGAGTGGAAATTCTAGTAGTAGTTCTAACTTCAGGTCTTGTTTGATCCAGGAGCTCCTACAATGTCTCAGGTTTCATTTTTCCATCTCTTGGCTTATGTTTTGACGTCACCATCACTCTCAGGCCGATTGTCTCCATGCTGGCAAAATGTTCACCAGCAGATCCTGGCTTACTCCCTCTTGGTTCCAATTTCAGCAGGCAAGAGAACATCTCTTTTTGTTGAGAGCCCCAATCAAAGTCCCAGGATTGCATCATACTGCTTCTGACTGTTTCTCTGCTTGTCTCAGATCCAATACCTGGTGCCTAGAAGGTGGCATTTCCCGCTTGGCCAAGCACGCTTTTGTGTGTACCCCTGGAGCTAAAGATGAAGTCAGAGAACTCCAAACCTATTGGCTGAGAGTGGGAGATGTGTGGTTTCCAAGAGGAAAATTGGGATGCTATAAATAAAATTATAGAAGGTTGTAAAAATAGATGTGCACTCTACAGATGTTGGGGAGATCCTGCTTCCTCATGTACATGTGAATTGAAGGGCGGACATGGATTATTATCTTACTAAGAACAATAATAACTACCCAGGCCCAGACTCCGGACTGCACCTGCTCACAGGATCCCAGCCCCTTGTGCAGTGCTCCATTTTTATTTGCTTGTTTGTTTCTGGTACCTAGGATTGAACCCAGGGGTACTTCATCACAGAGCCCCATCTCCAGCCCTTTTTATTTTTTACTTCGAGACAGGGTCTTGCTAAGTTGTCTAGGGCCTCCCTTAGTTGCTGAGGCAGGTTTTGAACTTGCAATTCTCCTGCCTCAACCTTCTGAGCCTCTGGGATTATAGGCATGCTCCACCATTCACAAAATTCCTTGGATATTTCTTAACTTCCCCAGAAGATCTTTACCACAGATTCACCAACAAGTCCCTCGGTGCCAAGTGCCATTGCTACCCCAGGCACCAGATTTCCCACCACCTGGTGTGCTCAATAGGTGTTCATCTGCCAGGGAGTCTTCTGGGTTACAGTCTGATGAAAAGGGCCCTGTAGAGAATGACATGTGTCATGGAGTGGCTTTGGTCACTAACACCTAGAAGCAATTCTAGATTTGTCTGCAACTTCTTTTCTCTCACCAGGCTCCAACACTGTTTTTGGAGACAGGAGGTGACAGACACCATGCTGCTGCCCACTCCATCCCTGTTTCTGTCCCTTGGTGGTTATGCAAATCTATCCAGATAAGCCTGCGTCTCAGGCTCTTAGGTTGTAGCTGGGAGGATAGATCTTAAAAAATAAAAATAAAAAACAAAAACCACAAAATTGGGCCAACCACATCAAGGGTGGCTATCTCTTAGAGTTGTGAGAATCAGCTGAATGTGTGCTTCCAGAAGAATTTCTGAGTTCTAGATGCAGCACAAGTGGGAGACTTGATATGAGTTAGTTTGGACTTCAGCAAGGGATTGTCAGATTCCGGGGAAGGCTCTTCCTTTCCGCCTCAGCCAGTGTTAACCTTGGTCATGTATAAAAACCACTCAAGTGGCTTTGACACCCAAGGCACAGGCAATGAAAGAAGAAAATCATAGATAAACCTCACCAAAATTTAAAGCTTTTGCACATAAAAAAAAAGGATACTCTCAAGAAAGCACAAAGACATCTCACAGGATGAGAAAAATATTTCCAAATAATATATCTGATAAGGGATAATATGCAAAATATTTAAAGAACTTCTACAACTCCACAACAAAAGCAAACAATCTAATTTTTTTATATGTGCAAAAGTTAGAGTAAATATTTTTCTAAAGAAGACACAAAATTAACCAATAAGCAATCACGTGAAAGATGCTCAACATCATTAATCATCAGTAAAGGCAAGTCAAAACCATAATGGGATAACATTTCGCAGCCGTTACAGTGGCTACAAGTTTTCAAAAATGGAAAATAAATGTCAGTGGGGATGTGGCTTGCTGGTGGGAATGTTAAATGGTGCAAGTGATGTGGAAAATCGTTTGGCGGCTTCCCACTC